AAATTTTTTTACGTCAAGTTGGAAGATGTCGAACGAAAAGGTTCCATCGAACGCACCAATAGCGCCTCAAGAAGGTAACGCTCCTCAAAATTCCAGTAGCAATAAGCAGCCAGGCGCTTCTAGTGAAGAAACGTGGCGCACACCAAGTGACCCGTTTCCAATGGAAATAACACAAGTCGCCCCCCGCGATGATGATCCGGACTACATACCTATCGAACAGGCCGTAAGTGCTGAAAATCGTTAGCCATGTATTATTCCCTAACTATGATGTGACATGAACCTAATGGTGTATAGAGTTACCTATTCTGTGCAGATGGTAGTCCGACGCCGCTCGAAACGTAAAGCCGGGAGGAACAGGACAGAGCAAGAAGTTGAGATGGACACCGCTACGTCTGCACCTGAACGTACGGAGACATCTACAAGTGCAGGCGGGAGTGGGAAAAAAAGACGTGGTGAGAGAAGCAAGAATAAATTACCCAAGGAAACTTACAACGTGATTGCTCTCGATCAGGATGGGAAGCCCATCGAGCCACCGATAGTGCGGTCCAAGTTCAGCAACGCCTGTGGCACTCTAGTCAGGACGCGTTGTCCCATTAATGTCAAGTTGTGGGAAACAGTGGACGACAACATCAAGACACTTCTCTGGAATGAGTTGCAGAAGTATTTTGTGTTCCCTCCTGGATCAGAGGTCAGGGGGAGAGATTACGCACTTAAAAAGATGGGAGATCGATGGCGACAGTGGAAGTCCGATCTAAATCGGGATTATGTTCAGAAGAATCTCCCACCGTTTACGGATTATGGACATATATCGCAGGCTGACTGGGACACGTTTGTTGCGGATCGTACAACAGCTGAAGCATTGGCTTTGAGGAAAAAAATGTCCGAGCTCGCGAAGAAGAACAGATATCCCCATAGATTGGGGTCGAGCGGATACGCTGGTCACGTCGATCAATGGCGGGAGATCGAGCAAAGATTTGCCGCGGCCGGTAAGCCCCTGCTGGTAGACCCCATGGTTGAACGTAGCAAGAACTGGGTTTGGGCGCGCAGCACAGGTCAAGTCTCGGATGAGGGAGACATACTATTCGAGACTCCAGACATAGAAGAAGTGACTACTAATTTGCAGCAGATAGTCGAGAAAGAAAGATCAGGACAGTTCGTCCCACGGAGGGAGCGAGATCAGCTTACTGCGGCGTTGGGGACGGCTGAACACTCTGGACGTGTAAGGGGTTTGTCCTCAAAGACAAGTTGGAAGGTCGGGTTTCCACAAGACGCACCAAGTTATAAGAAGAGAGACAAATACAAAGAACAACTATCGGACAAGATCTATGCGCAAGTGAAGGAACACTTCTACTCGTTGGCAGCTGAAAACCCGACAGCTTTTCCAAGGTTATTCCCTGATAGCCAGCAACCCACACAATCCGCACAGCAAACAACTAATGTACCCAGCAGTGTAGGCTCAGTGCAGACAAGTACCTTCCCTGTGGATAGTATAACTGGACCAACTCCGTGCAGTCTCGTCGTACCAATCGGCCGCGCTGGAAAGACTAAGGAGGTTGCAACGGGTTTAGCGATACCCGGACGTCAATTCCACAACACGGCAATCCCTGAGGATTACGCAAGGGTACAGGTCGCCAAGGTCCATAGCGACCACGTTTCCTTGGAACTAGACATACCTGCACCTGAGGGGATTGAACTTCTCGGTGATGCAGTGAATCAGTTTATCTTGTGGCACCGCAGAGACATAATCCTGAGCGCGGCCGTTCTTGCAGCAGGATCTTTAACCCCATCCTCATCGCAGGCAATGACTGCTGCCGCTCCTGCACCACCGTCGCCTCCTGAACCACCGTCACCTCGACATCCGCCGTCACCACCACCGCTTAGGTCACCGCCTCGCCAACCTACACCACCACCCTCCCCTTCTCAACAACCGCCTCTCCCGACCCCGCAACCAGTTCAAGCCTCTCCCACCTCCCCAACTAAACAGCATGCTCCCCCGGCTCCGCCCTCAGTTCAAACCTCTCCACCTACACCCCAATCTGCTCTGGTAGAACAAGTGCACATACCAGATGGTACTACATCCGAACCAAAGTCTAATACTTTGGAACCTCGTCGTATAATTCCAAAGTTGATATCGACATACGACCCAAAGGAGATTGACAAGGATAAGGAGAAGTTCATGTTTTCAGCTTTCAGGAATTCTGAGAAGAGAAAAGAACTTGCTCACGTCTTGTCAGACTCCCAGAAGTCAGTACTAGCGGCCCAAGATGAAGTGCAATCCTGGTTATCTGCCGATGTGCCTGAAACTTATGAGTATGGCAAGCCATTCTTGCCAACTTATCTTATGAACAAGCTACCATGGGAAATGAGGGTAATGCACGAATGGTATATGAAGGCATCTAGGAAAGGTCTCGGTTTCATAAGCGTCGCCGTCCCGGAAGGCGCTTTCATGAGTGGTCCTAATGGGATATTTTTTATCTCTTTCCAAGACCTTTACGCCCTCTACAAGCTAGATAAAATGGACGTTAATCTCGTTGCGGCTTTCTGTCTGTAAGTCTGAACTCTTTATTACATGTTGCACGTTTCATTCGAAACAAATAAACCAAATCTCATTTCTTCTTTATTCATTGTACAGTATGCAATTCCACGAAGCTGATAGAACTGGAGCAAAGGTTGGATACGTCGATCCAACAAGAATATGCAAAACACAACACACCGTAGAGCTGAGACAGGACTGCGAGCAATTGGTTGGCAAGACCCCGGAAGAAAAGGAAGAATATGTGAAGACATTGCACAAGAGGAACAAGCTAGAAGTAGCAACATACTTGGCAATAGCAATGTTGGCGCACGCCGACAAAGATGTCTTAATGGTCCCCTACCAGTTCACGTAAGCTCTCTCTTCTTTTTGTTTAATTAATTTATCTTCTTCGGAATTTTCTGTCTCCAATAAGCCTATCTTATATGTAGAGACCACTACATATTATTCCTTGTATATCCGAAAGACCAATTGATCATATCATTGGACCCCGCACACTATGACAAGGAGACATTTATGGAATTCCTCACTATTTTGAATTTGTAAGTGATAAACATTTCATTACTATAAATTGTTTAGGTCGATCACCAGTCTTCTAACTACTAATAAAACAATTGTTTCCTTCAAACAGAGCACACAAGTACTACCGCAAAAGAGGTGGACCAGTACATATTCCATCCCAGAAGAAGTTATCCGTCAGGACTGGCTGGCCGGTACTATCAAATTTATACCAATACAACTAATTATCGAACAGTACATATATACTAAATATATCTACTGAGATCGGTCCCCATAATTATATCGCAGTGCTACAAACAACCACCAGGAACCAACTTGTGTGGTTATTACGTGTGCGAGATGCTCAGAGTAAATGGGAGGTACAAAACAACCAGTAACCGAGTAGGTCATCGAACTCTTCTCTACAAAGAAACCCATCTCGCACACACTTCTCACTGAGTACCGTTTTATTTTCCTTTCTGTGTGCAGATCCCCGAAATCCCATATATTGCACAACGATTCAACCACACTACTATCTTGAACGTGGCCGCTGACCTCTGCCGATTCATCCGTCGCGATGTCTGCAACGCAAGAGGTCTCTTCTACGACAACCAGAGTGAACTCGCAATGGACGGCAAATTTAAACCTCTCAGAGAGTGGGAGAAAGAACATATGCAATAACATGTACACTACTTATACATATGATGAAAAAACTGTGCCACTTGTATTATATATTTGTATGTAAATTACGATTGAATTAATGGTTATGTATTACATGTTTGTTACTGCGGCACTTGTCTTATCTTATATGCTTACTACTCCAAAATACGATAATAAATCCCTCAATAATTTAATATTAATTACGAATCACCAAAATGCTAGAATAAATATTATTTTAGCTATTCGGAAATTGAATTTCGCATGCGGTCTACTTAAGACGGCCGCATGCGCAAATGGTGATCTTTGCAGACCATTTCGCGCATGCGGGCCGGCCAACCGCATGTGAAGATCGATTCCGCCCGTATGCAAAAACGTTTTCTGTAGTAGTGTATTATAGTATATTTATTTTGCATTGAAAATATAAGATTAATTTTCCTTCTTTTGCCTTAAAAAATCAAAATATGAAAAAGAATATTTAATTTTAAACAGGTAGACGAATGCTATTTTATAGGTGGGCCAACAATGAAAGCTTCCCACAAAATAAATATACTATGAAAATAACTGTATATTTATTGGTGAATTCAATGAATCTAATTTAATGTCGTAGGTGCTTATATGTTTTTTTATAAACACCAATGTCAGTGGATATTTTAAATTGTGTCTGACCCATGTGTCAGTGGAATACTGTGGGGGATTAGCGAAGTGATTACTGTGCAAAAGTTTTCACTAAATTACCCGACACGTGGGACCCACTTGTCTCACCACTTCCTTCCCCCTCGGATTGAGACAGTGAAGTCAGAGAAGCACAGTACTTTAGCTTTAGGGTATTCTCAGCTGTCCGATCCGCAGCGAACGGACGAGATCGATAGCTACAGTAACATGAGATCATTACCTTTCCACAGTACACCTTCTTTTTATAATTGCTGTTGCAGTAAACCACTGTAGAATTACTGTTCTATACTGTAGCACAAGACAATTTACTTTTCTTCTATGCCTTTAGCACGTAAAGTCAGAGGAGCCGGATCCTTCTTCCTCTATCTTCTCTGTCCCCCATCGCGACGAGACGGCGCCAACCATGGCACAACGAGGATGGGTGACCATGGCGACTGCCAGCAGGTGGAGGGGCTGTAATGCCGGCGGCTATATATGTGCTGGCGAGCAAGCGGCGCCGCTCGGGCTGAGGCCAAATCGGCCCGAGAGAGGCGGAAGGCGGGGCTTCAATTCGCGCGCGGTACAAAACGGTCGCTAGTGGAGATGGGGCTAGCCGCTAGAGCCTAGAGTTACGAGAGATAGGCATAGGAGATCTTACCGGCGGCGGCGAAGCGACGACGGAGGAGATAAGCCGGGTGGCGAGCCAGCGGCGGCCGGTGTTCTCGGGGGTCCAGCAGGTTCGCGTTCTGGCACTGCGGCCTAGCCTTCTCTCCCCCTCGCTCCGGCCTGCTCGGGCGTGGGAGGGATCGAGCTGACGAGGTAACTGATGGTGGGGATTGGGAGGGCGTGAGGTGTGTTCAGTGAGAGTATCTGGTTCGATGGGCTCCTCCTTTTTGAATTGGCGTTCTGGCGTGTCCGGGGTCGTCCGTCGTCGGGGAGGTCTTCGGGGTGACTGGTGAGCTGTGAGCAGGTGGAGCCGCGCGCGGAGGTGAGAATGCGTGGCCGCGTTCTCACTCCGTACGTCCGTTGCTGGTGCCACCAGCTCAGTCTCAGTGCCCCGGTTTGTAGTTGTATACTAGCCCGCGCGTCTCGCCTCGGCTGGGACGGCGTCTAGCCGTCACTCGGGTCGGCTTGTGGACTCCGCGTCGAGCAGGTGGCGAGCGCGGGAGAGAAGGGTGAGCTCGGCGCGCAGAGTAGGTGGCACACGGCTTCGGTCGGGATCGGGAGCGGGTGGCGCGGGTGCAGCCGCGATCTGGGAGGTGCGCGCGTTGATTTTTTGTGACTATCTCTTATCTCTACTACTGTATAAAAACTAGTAATAAGGTACACTAAGTTTGGGACAATAAAAACGATATATTAATCAAAGAACATTTACCTCAATTTCTCCATAAATTATTTTTGTTGGCATTAGTTGCTTTTATAACTTTTAACCTATTAGCTTTATATTATATCATATCTATCTATCTATTATATACTAAAAGTCCATTAAACTTCCTACAAACGTTCTCAAGCCACCATGTATAACTCCTACAAATGCTCCTAAGTCGCCACATGGCGTTTTAATAAATTTAAGGAATATCTAATAATTCTTAAAAAGGAAAACCATAGAGTGGACCCACTTTAAATCCGAATTGTGTATCACAAGTGCACGTTGTGTGCACGTACGTACGCCACATATATCCTTTCCCTACTCCTATTCATGCTATATTATATAGAAAATACATAATACATCATTAGATCATTAGATTATTTACCACAAAATTTATAGTTCAGGACCCAAACTAACTGTATTTAGTAAAAGAAATAAAACACATTTATACGGAAAATCATATAGATATTTTAACAATCTATTTAACAACACATATATTTTAATAGAACAATATGCAATAATAAACGGTTTTAATTAGAAAATAGATATTTCATAAGTACATAACTTTGGGTCATTATTATGTTTGTAAATATAGATAACTCAAGTTGGTGAAACCATTGAATCTATCATAAAGGAAGCAAAACTCCTCTCCTCCTAATGTCAGATGTATATGTGCACGTCTCCTGTAAGCAAGATCACGATATATACATATATCTAATCTATCTTTATTGATCCATATATAAATATATGTATAACAAATTATGTTAATATGAACCAATTAAAAGGAGGGCTAGCTTAATGGTGCATTATTAACAATAATATTTTTTAAGATTTGTTTAAAAAAAGTCCCAAAACATTCAATTTAAAAAGAAAAAGCACCTTATTTTTAATTTGAAATTTTAGACATGTTTTCTAAATAAACTAAGTCTACCTCCTTTTTAAATGATGAAGAAGAAAATAATAATTACTTATAGAGATGGATTAAATATTACTCCCTCCGTTTCAAAATGTTTGACACCGTTAACTTTTTAGTACGTATTTGACCATTCGTTTTATTAAAAAATTTAAGTAATTATTTATTCTTTTCATATTATTTGATTCATTGTTAAATATACTTTCATGTACACATATAGTTTTACACATTTTATATATTTCACAAATTTTTTTTGAATAAGACGAACGGTCAAACATGTGCTAAAAAATCAACGGTGTCAAACATTTTGAAACGGAGGGAGTACGTGGTATGAAGATAACAAATACCTAATAAAAAATATTTTAGCAAAGCTAGCAAATAAATTTATGAAGAAAATGTACTTCTGAAGCTTGGCAAGTGTTATATGGTTGATTTTCAATCCTTAAGTTTTTCAAATACAGGCTTATGATATACATGCCCGCGTGAATACGCGGGCCACCATCCTTGTTATTATATACTAAAAGTCCATTAAACTTCCTACAAACGTTCTCAAGCTGCCACGTGGCGCTCTAATAAATTAGAGAAATTTCTTAAAATTCTAAGAAAAAAGCAAAACATCTGTCCCCTTAGTTTTTATTTAAGTTGGTGGGTCAAATATTATAAACCGTTAGATTGGATTAACCTTAGAACTAACAGGACACCAGGGCCCACCTCTTCTCCTACAGTAGTATGTACTTGCGCGCGTGTACTTACCCAAAAAAACTCCAAATTCCCCTCCCCACCGAACGTATGCCATCCTTTCCTTCCATCTCATCATTTTCTTTCACTATACAAAAGACATCTATACAAAAACTCGCTGTGCACTCCAAGGCTGCATGGCCATGCATACATGCATGAATACTAAGTAATACTATATTTTTCAATGCTCTTAAACATATATTCAATTCACTATGTGTCTGAACAATTGTATATTTTAATTACCCATATTGACCTATATTTTAATGCCAACAAAATTGTTACATATGTTAGACCCACACATGTCATCTCGAGGCCAATTTTTTTTTATTAAAAATCAAAATATCCAACCCTTTGACCTATGACATATACACATTAACTTTGATGCTTATATAAATAACCGATGTTAATATAATCATATTATCTATCTACTATATACTAAAAGTCCATTAAACATCCTAAAAATGCTCTCAAACCGCCATGTGGCATTCTATAAACGCTCTCATCTCGCCATGTGTCACTCTAGCAAATTATAGAAAATAACAAAACATCTAGCCATCGATTTTCACTAATATACGGTGGACCGATATTTTCTACCATCGGATTTACTTAAAGGAAAAAAAAAGAAAGGCCCACACCGGATTTACTTAAAGAAAAAAAAAAGAAAGGCTCACACCACCACCGCTGCCATCATATATCGTAGGTATATGTACGTATAGTTACTTACGTATGTATAACGTATCATATATTGCTCTCACCATGTATTAGGGCAACATGCCCTCCTATTTTCAAACATTTTTATTAATTAATATTGGAAAACATATTTTGTATTAAATTGTTTTAAACAACTATACCATCTAAATAGCTATTTTTTAGTCCGTGCACGGCATGAGATTATTTGCAATAAAATTTAGAATTCAATGCCCAAATTAACTGCATTTTAAAAGTAAAATAAATGTATTTCTTTGGGTTCTATACTCCTAGAGACTACCTATTGGTCACTCGATACATTATTTAGAAAAATCACATAGATTTTTAAACTATATGATTGGCAACATTTAGCTTATATTAGTAAATACAACACCCAACACATTTTCTAATAGATCTAAAATTATATCTATCTTTTAAAAATAGATAACTAAAGACTTGGACCCGTTGGAATATGTCTCAACAAAAAAAAATCTCCGCCCCTCATCCGGTTGTACATGTACATCCTCTGATCATCTCTCCTTCTATTTTTTTAACTAACAACCTAATATTAAAAAAATATAGCTAAATGGTTTATCATTTCTAAAATTATATTTGATTTTTTAATTTGTTTGAACTATTGTTTTATTTACAAGTAATTAAATAATTCAATATCCATCATATTTGTATTTTACTATATAAAAATTAAAATACTCCTTTGCGGGCAACTGAATGACAATGTAAAATTATAAACAAATAACAACATGTATTATTTCATATTAAATCAGTCTACATAATATAAACCAATTAAACACCCTTTAGAGCACACTTAAGTAACCATATGTCACATTTTAAAATTATAGATATTTTAATTAAATCGATGTCCTGAAAATCAATAATAATCTTAGAAATTTTGAGAAAAATATTAAACCTATCATCATTGGTTTTAAGTTACATTATTTGGAGAAATTAGAAAAATAAATCGCATCTACCTCCTTGCCCCCTCACATGCGCGGAGACCACTTCCTATCCCATGCCTATATTTGCGTAGGAGTAAAATAAAAGTGAAATAATAAATATATTAAAATAACCATAATTTTTAAGCTACACGTCTGATTTCTAAAAAAAAATGGTTGCTCTGTTTATAATTAAACTAGGAATTTTAGATCGATATACGTATATTTTTCCTATATACAAAATATGTCATTCGACCACATTCAGCCCACAGCCCCGTGCGCTTTGCATACCATCCAGATATGATTGAAATACCTTAAATAAATTGGCTGCATATATTATTACATCACTATACATCATTCTGCAAACATGTATAGCTAAATAAAATCAATAGTGTCCAAACAAAAATTACAAAGTGAACTATAAAACATTTTTTTATTGAGGAAGAACGCCCCTGCCCTTTTACATGTCATTTGAATTGCTGTAAAAGAATTACGAAATAATCCAATACAGGTTGCATCATCATATGTTGTTTCTCAAACATGCATAGGTAAATTAGATATATACTATCTAAGCAAATAGGACTAACTAAAATATAAAATCCAAACCACCAATGCATAGAAAATCCAATGGCTTTAGTTAGAGAAAATTCCAATTACTTCGTGAACTTTTGTAAAATGTGCTAAAATAATCCAAGCATGCTAAATGATCTTTCGTGTATCTGCTCTAAACTATGCTACCATCTACTCCTAATTGAATTTAGATGCTTAATGCACTTTTAGTATATCATTCAAGTATATATATCCAAGCGTGTTGTTCTGGCCTTCTAAGCATTCCGGGTAACTCCGTTTATCTTCTTTGTGCATAGACCATTCAAAAGGTGAGTCATCCATATACATGAACATTAATCATCTGTGAATATATTTTTGTTGTATATATATACTTGAATGATTAACTTTGGAGATTTTACGATACAACAAGACATGGAAATAGGACTAACTAAGCTTGACAAAAAATGTGCACCACTATGATGAATCACAAGGCAACCTCCATAGGTGCAATGACCACATCTCAACACGGTGAACAGGAGCTGCATGAAAACCGTACGGCGGGAAAAAAGGACCAGGTCTTACGTTTTGACTAACAGGACCCAAAGCATTCAAAAAAAGAAAAAGAAAACACCTTGCTTTTAATTTAATAAACATGTTTTCTTAACAAACTAGGTCTAACTCCTTTTTAGATGATGATGATGAATATAGATAATTGCTTATACAAATTAATTAAATAGTATATAGTATATAGCGTAGAGAAATTATCAAAGTGATGCCAACGAAGAATATTTGTTGAGGAAAAGTACTTCCAAAACATGGCAGAGGCTATCTCATAAATATGATCTGTATTCAAATGCAGCCCACGATACATGCCCACGCGAATGCGCGGGTTACCTTACTAGTTTAAGTAATATCTATAAGCAATTATTT